GACCATGTGCTGTATCGATTTCGAAAGTTAGATGTCAGCTACTGTGACCATGCATTCACAGATGAGGAGCGGAATTCGGTCATAATTTCAGATAATAGGCTATACCCCGTGCAAACTATGCAGGTACTTGACGTGTGTTGTGACATTTACTGGCTTACCATCATTCAACCCACAGGTCCATTACACGACTTACGATCTTAGACAAGAGTATGACACTGTCAATCCTCGGACTCACTGCAATGTCATGGTATTATCTGGCGAAACAAAGCCTCAACATGCATACTGGTATGCCCGAGTTCTGGGCATTTATCACATGAATGCATGGCTTAATATTGAAGGTTGAGTCAAAAAACACCAAATTGAGGTTCTTTTTGTGAGATGGCTGGCACCTTTGAGCGACCATCAATCAGGGATGAGCTGCGCTCAGCTTCCGAATGTCGCATTCGTCAAGGAATCTGACCGTGATGCCTTTGGTTTTCTGGACCCTGGTCAGGTCATCCGGGGTGCGCACCTGATCCCAGCTTTTGCTTCTGGCTGTGGAACCACCTCCCTTCGCCATGGAAAGTCATTCGCACGTCAGTGCGGCGAATTAGATGACTGGGAAGCTTACTATGTTGGCATGTAAGTACAGCATCCCATCCTGTCGTCCTCACTCAAACTATGGACCGCTCAGATTCATGGACAGAGACATGTTCATGCGGTACACGTACCATGGAATTGGACATCCAAAGTTCTTGCAGGAGATAACGAAGGCTTGCGCGGATGAAGGACCTGGGGATGGCCCAATGTCAAAAGAAGACCAGAATGGCTACGACGGGGATTGGAAGAGCCATATTCCGCCCTATAAGGATGGAAGAGATATTGGTAATGGCGATGGTGGTGACGATGGCGATGACGGAGCAAGGGGGAATGTGACGATGACGGGGAAGAAGATGAAGACGCCGATCAGGACCAAGACCAAGATGAAGATGAAGACGCAAACTATGACGAAGACAAAGGAGTAGAGGGCGCAGATGACTGGGATGCAGAAGATCATGACGAATATCTGTACTTCTAATTCATGGCGTTTAAGCTCAGTAGGTGCTAGAGCTTTTTGTTTTCAGACAACCTCTGGATGTTCACCATCACCCCATCTTGGTGGATGGATATATCACTTTGGGCTATAGCCCTAAAACTGGGATACATCCATTAGCTGAATTATCCATATCCAAAAGGATGTATCCTTCAATACATCCATGGTGAATCCCAAATGAGCATTAATATTATACACAGCTGCATTTTTCGCATTTTTGAAACTCAGCTATGTTTTGATTTCTAGGATATATTCTATATTTGGTGATGGATGTATTCATATGTTATAACCACAATTTTGGCTTCCAAATGCGGTAATTCATAAAACATATCTCATTTGGGTGACCTATAGCCTCCCCACATTATCCCCACACCCCATATTTCCGCATTTTTGGCCACCTACTGTGGGAATTTCCCCACAACACCCAAAACATCACCCAATATGGTACACCCCACAATTTTAATTATTCCCACATCCTCCCCACATCATTGCAGCTTCACCACCACACCACAATAGCCCCCCCTTTATATATAAGTAGTAGTTTAGTATATATATGTGTAATATAATATAATAGGCTACTTTTTTTGTTTGTTTGTGTGACTGCTCCTTCTCCAGGGGCAATTCAACATAGGGCAGGATACAGAACACTTTCGCATTTTTGCCCCTTTGGTGGGAAAGTGTTCTATGGTATTTAGAACATGTTTATGAGCATATATGAGTAGATTCTCATCTTTATTTGATCCCCTAAAGCATCCTACATCAATAGATATAGCACATATGCAAGAAAACATAGAATATGTTCCTATTTAATTATTTCTAGGTGAACAGACTTGAAAAAATGATTCCCAGCATCTATTCAACAATAAGAACAATGTATCAGGAGTCCATGATCATAGGATTATCCCCTGTTGCATGGTGTGCCCCCCTTCTCCTGGTGGTTTACCCCCTGTGAATTTTTTTTCTGTAGGACCAGACCTCAATTGAGATATGGGGCCTATTTCTATGTATATTTGTAGTATATCTATCATATAGCTGGCCCAGGACACACATAGGATCCTGCTACAAGGACAAAAACATAGAAAATCCCACTTTTGACACTTTTAATGTTTTTCAATATCTTACTCTTACATAAATAACCAGCCCTGCTCATATATAATCAGTAGTACATTGCCACATGTGTTCTACACCAAGAATCAGCCCTACATAGGGCGCAAATTTGATATCTAATGTACAGAGGGTATTTCTACTGATAAGAAGCCTACATAGTAATTAAGCTTGTGATAGGTGATCAGAGACCTGGAATGCCTCTCATATATGTCCCTGATGATGAATCTGAAGTTTTAGAAAGATCCATGAAGGACTGACTGAATGACAAGTTAAATGACATATATGTGAAAAGTGACAATTGACATCTTTTCATACAAAGTTACATTTATATATGATGCAGCTCAAATATTTCATTAAAAATATGTAGAATACATGGTAGACTACCTAAATAACCTATACTACATACTGCTCTGAGGGTAGAGGTGGGTGGAAGGGATCCAGTGTAAAAGTGAGTTGAGCCAGCATTAAAGTCTGACCACTACTCAACTGACCATTTTCGATGTTTTGAGTATTTGAACTTTCCCACACTCCATTTCTTATCTATTTCAATTCTCCAGCTCTCAATTCTGGGTTGATCTTTCTGTAAATTTAGTTCTATACTATTGAATATATCTGAAATGCGTCCAAGGTGTCTGATCATTAAATATCAATCATTGGAAGGTATGGGCCCCTAATCAGTAGAAATGACAAGCATATACATAATCTCAATACTCTAGCATATTGTGAGCTGATCCTAGTCATAGAAAGCAATCATATACACTATCATAATTATACATGAACAGGGTAGATCATTTACACAAGAGCAAGATACTGAAAAACATCAAAAATACAACTTTCTATGTTTTTGTCCTTGTAGCAGGATCCTATGTGTGTCCTGGGCCAGCTATATGATAGATATACTACAAATATACATAGAAATAGGCCCCATATCTCAATTGAGGTCTGGTCCTACAGAAAAAAAATTCACAGGGGGTAAACCACCAGGAGAAGGGGGGCACACCATGCAACAGGGGATAATCCTATGGTCATGGACTCCTGATACATTGTTCTTATTGTTGAATAGATGCTGGGAATCATTTTTTCAAGTTTGTTCACCTAGAAATAATTAAATAGGAACATATTCTATGTTTTCTTGCATATGTGCTATATCTATTGATGTAGGATGCTTTAGGGGGTCAAATAAAGATGAGAATCTACTCATATATGCTCATAAACATGTTCTAAATACCATAGAACACTTTCCCACCAAAGGGGCAAAAATGCGAAAGTGTTCTGTATCCTGCCCTATGTTGAATTGCCCCTGGAGAAGGAGCAGTCACACAAACAAACAAAAAAAGTAGCCTATTATATTATATTACACATATATATACTAAACTACTACTTATATATAAAGGGGGGGCTACTGTGGTGTGGTGGTGAAGCTGCAATGATGTGGGGAGGATGTGGGAATAATTAAAATTGTGGGGTGTACCATATTGGGTGATGTTTTGGGTGTTGTGGGGAAATTCCCACAGTAGGTGGCCAAAAATGCGGAAATATGGGGTGTGGGGATAATGTGGGGAGGCTATAGGTCACCCAAATGAGATATGTTTTATGAATTACCGCATTTGGAAGCCAAAATTGTGGTTATAACATATGAATACATCCATCACCAAATATAGAATATATCCTAGAAATCAAAACATAGCTGAGTTTCAAAAATGCGAAAAATGCAGCTGTGTATAATATTGATGCTCATTTGGGATTCACCATGGATGTATTGAAGGATACATCCTTTTGGATATGGATAATTCAGCTAATGGATGTATCTCAGTTTTAGGGCTATAGTCCACTTTGAATGTATCATTCTAACACTATCGCCTCTCACCATGATCATTACCATGTACTCATGTCACTGACACCCGCGCGCACCCACCTGTAATTGTTCATTAGAATTAGACTATGCAGCATGTGTGCAACAATTTGACCTTACTTTACTCTCGGTTCTCTTGTTTCTTTGTATCTCAATTTTCTGGTAGGATACTAGCGAATGTATTTGATTCTTAAGTTTGCTGTTAACAGTTCACTTGGAAAGGTCCCGAAAAAGCTCGACCAAGTCCAAAAGGTCGTGCTGACTTGCTACAATGATGGCATTCACAATTTTGTTGCTGAGTCTAATGCTATACTGGGTTTGTTGACTGGTCCCAAAGGGTACTTCATATGAAAAGGTCTTGAATAGCATCATAAATCGAAATATAAATCGGGCAAAATCAGAGCGATCCATGAAATTGAGACGAGTGTGCTGTTGAACCTTGCCTGCTGCGATGACACCATATTAGATTTCTGTCACAAAATGTAATGCTCCTCTACATATGTTGACAAGTGCCAAAGGCACCCCCCACAGGAAGGTCTTAAATGATATTTTAATTCTAAACTAACATGACAAAAAACGAAGGTATTTAAGATGTATAACGGGAGTATGCTGTCGTCCTATGTCGGTCTCCATTGCCATAGGGCACGACCTTGTTATGAAGTCCCACGCTGTTCTGCATTCGTCGACGAGTGCTAAAGGCACCTCCCACGAGAATGTCTTGGATGAGGTCATAATGCAAAGCAAAAGTAAGACGAAATGACAATGTTCAAAATGATCACCACCAGTATGCTACCACCCCTCGTCGGCTGCAATGCAGGAATGTCATCACATTGTCATGCACTGCTCATGCTACTCTGAATTTGCAGGCCTTGATGGCTATGTATTTACAACTCAAAGTTTTAACAGTATGAATGATCATATTTAGCAGGAGCAGAATTATATCCGTCTACAGTTCGCACGGCTACAATATCAAGGTCTCATCAAATCACTGATGATAGTGGTTGTTATATCACTGATACCCTGGATAATTTCCATATGGGCCTGACCCTGTGAGGCTGCCGCGGTCTGTTGAACCTCCAAAGCCTTTTGTTGCGATTCTTGATTCAACTCGATGAGCTCAGCAATCTGTGCTCTGGCGGCCACACATTCGGCCTGGACCATCGCCATCATTTCTTTGTGGGCCTGATCCTGTGAGGCTGCTGCGGCTGCCATGGCTTGTAAGGCGGCCTGCTGAAACTCCAAATCCTTTTGCTGCAATTCTTGATTCGACTTGATGAGCTTGACAATCTGTGCTATGGCAGCAGCAGCTGCCTCAGGCTCTGCTTTCTGGTGCACTTCTATATCGGCAAGGGATGGACTGTATGCTTCTGGCCAACTCTGACTAAATAGACTTCCCATCTCTGAGTTTGCCCAAGGATGGTAATGCGTGGACCTGTCAATGGTAACGTCGCATGATGCTCCCATCTCTTGGACTGAAAAACTTACAGGTATGTGTATGCTTTGGAAAGAACAATCAGCTAACAACGATGTTCAGAGTCAGTCCTGTGGGTTTTCAGGATAAGAACGAAAACACGATATGATGAGATGTCTGCCTGGAGGCATTTTATATTGCACTGCTTGCAGACCAAGAGAACGACATGCGGCGAGGTGCTGGCTATGGGCTGTTCTATATCCATATATAGGAATGGGACCTGGAGGCAACGAGGGTAGAATTCCAATGGCATTATGTAATGCACATTTTGTTCTCGTGGACCGCAATTCGCCCTAAATCACTATACTCAGCAGCTATGAAAATGAGTTACTAGACCATGCGGATATGATACACTCAACTGAGTTGAAAGAAGATCTCGCCGAAACTTCCCATAAAAATAAATTAGTGTTTCAATATTTCAATTATTTGATTACTAATTGTTCAGTTAATACCTCAAAGTTATCAAGTACGTAAATGTTCAAACTACTCACCACTTAAACATAAATTTTACGACCAACTCTTATACTCACCTTACAAAATGTCTAACACCTACAATTAGTAAAATCACGGCACGTCAGTCTGTAGACTCATAAATAGTATTATACGTTTTAAGTCCCGTGGCCAATGACTAGGGTGATGAGGATGATTTAGCTTCCCTTTCATTCATATTGAAACTAGTGACTTACTTCTGTGCAATATCATTTTGGCTACAGATCTGTAAAGCCACAACTTGGCCACGGGCGTCTTCGATATGACACAATTATGGTATAACGTCCAAAAGTTAGGACTCACCAGTAAGTGGCATCCTGCTGTGAATCGGTACTTTTGACTTCGTATGTCATTTGTTGGAGCAGTGGATATCATATGGCGGCAGTTAGATACACCTGGTCTATTCATTTGATAATAGATACTACATTATAATCCTAAATGTGATGGCCCGTTTGTTACAATCTGTCACATGAGTCAAGCTGTAGTAACCATAGATCAGTAGCCAAACTTATGCCCTCTCGATATATGTTTCAAACTATTTTTACTGTGGAGCATCTCTTGCACTTACTTCGTTCTGATGCATGATTTCAATCTCAGGCAGTAATCGCATATATTTCATAAACAGTGACAAAAAGTAAAGGTTTCCCAGACACCTCCAGGGTATATGTATTGGCTGTCATTCAATGTCTCAATTGTGTAGCCTCGCCATGTTACACAATTAGGTCTACATGGGGGATACACGATGCTGTGGCAGCAATGTGCCGTGTGTGACAATTCCAGCTTCGTTTGTCACTCTAGATCCATGCCATTCATTTGCGTTTCTGTTCAATTTTGATTATTCTAGAATAGCTGCGCATCCATTATACTGATCCCACAATGTAAATTATTGTGTACATAGATAATACAAATAGGTAGTACATGCATTAGTAAAACGTATCACTGGCAGCGTCTGGCAGAAGTGTTAGCAACAGAGTATTGCGCTACATTCTGAGGCAAGTAAGTAGACACATTGCGAGCCCCAAAGACCTTTCTACAAAGTGTAAGAAATGTACGAACAACAGAAAGCTTACAACACACTCACCTGTTCCACCAAACAAGAAGAGTGTCGATGGAGGCTTTGGCGGCAGATGTAGGTAGATGCTCGAAGTAGTCGATGATGTAGATGTAAAACTGACGATGATCAAACTCATCATCAACGATACACCAGGCACCACAGCTTGATAAGGCAAATCGTAACTGGGATTCCAGGTCCCTTCAGTTATCCTCGTGTCTAAGAAAATTATTAAACATACTTGGACTGCTGAATAGGCGATAGCTCGCGGTTGAACTGAGCGCATTCCTAATATTGTCGCAATGTTGGACTGGGTGCGCCGTTCACCTGAGGTCCTAGACCGCTTGTGCGATGATTCCTGGTAGCCCAGGGGTTCTTCTTCGTCAGGTCGTATCTCCCCAGCAGAGCTGGGGGATGTAAAAATATGTTTGAAAGTCTGTGCCAATAGGTGAGTACAATCCCTTGAAAGCAGATACTAATACCCACCCTGACGAGCCAAGCACTTTTGAACAGCCCTTTTGTCGGGTCGTCAGGGTCATATTTGCCGTTACTATACAAGAATGCTGGCCATGAATGAGCAGTGACTTGGAAGTCAGGCTCGTAGTTTCATATCCCTTCCTTCGTTCTATAGCTATAATCAGTATGAGGTGTAGTAAGCCGGTTAGTGAGGTCATACCTTGGATTGGCCCAATGGAAATCCACAGGACATAGAAGTTCCCCGGTCGCATCATGATAAAATCCACGTCCGGACTTGTCGACTGAGGAGATTGGTGGGTTGGGGGTAGGACGGCTCTCATTGAGCCACGAAGCCACTGTTTTCTTCAAAGAACTAGCATCATCGCCCCGTGCTGAATCGGCACCTTTATTGAGCTGAATTCAATTGGGTTTAAACATTGATGTGACTACTTGCATGGCGGACAACTTACCTTTTGATAAGCAACGTTGAGCTGATATCCGTCACTTTGAGAGTTTATAAGGCTGCGGACACATGGAACCCAGCGAAGTAGCTGTTGAAATGACTGATAGGTTCGTTCCTCCCTAGAATATTGAAAACAGGATCAAACCAACCGACTGAAGTACTCGAGCATAATACTCACTCTTCCGTGTGTTGGTCATCTTCATCACATAGAGCGCTCCTTCGATCGTGCTCTCCGATAAGGTCCTCAACCCTGTCAGTTAAGCTCACGAGGCGCCGGACGGCTCGGCCAGCAGGGACATATATATCACCATGGCTATTGGACGTCAGCTGCGTCAGATACATATAACAATTCATGTTAGTACAACACCTTTTGTTGCGATGGCTTTCTCCCTGCAGCTCAGCATTATGCTCTTCTAGAGCAGCAATGCGCCGTTTGAGAGCGTTATGGGTTGCATTAGGTGAATTGTTGTCAGAAGGACTCGGAGACTGCGACATGGGTAATAGGAACTTGAAGGAAAAAACGAGGGTGATTGACGTACCCAAGATGAAAGCTTTTCAAGCACCAATATTTGAAATTGACGTGGGGTAAGATTTACGGATGTAGAACAAGATTTACGGTCGTCAGAGCCGCTGTAACAGGAAGGACTGCAATGGAACCATGGCCAGATTACGATGCGCGTGGGGACTAAAGTTGAATAATTAATAAAATGCTCCACTCTGTTTGAATGGAGCAGACCATGATGTCGTTATACGGACCCTTGTGGCGTTTCCGAAAAGAACGGAAATGTGGTGTCAGAGCAAAGGGGTATTGAGCGCAAGCGAAACTCTGAGTCGGATCTCATTGCGGAACTTGTAGCGTCATTGTAATGTCATGGTGGGTCCATGCAAAGGCTCATCACTGACATCAAAGGTGGTCGTGGGTAATAACGAGACAAAGTCAACTAGCAGCAAACAATATCAGAACGATGGAGCGAATCGGAAGCAAGACTCACATCTGTTATACCTGTCGTTGCCAATTCGTCAGGCATTCCCAGCCTGAAGCGCGAAGCAACTGTGAAATAAACACTAGTATAAGAGTATAAGCCTGCTTGATGGTGAAGGACAACTTGAAGAGCATGTCCGATCATGCCCTTCCTCCATTGAATAAGAGAAGACTGAAGTTGCACACGCTGGGCCAATCATCCTTGCTACTGCGGGAGCCACCAGGGCGATCCCATTGGTTGCCCCGAGCGAGGCACAATTGGGAGCAGCAGCTCTGATAAAGTGTGATTCCGCAAAGGGTTCTGGGTGAAATTGTCGCACTTAAGAAATCATACATTACATCAACTAAGTTCTAACAGATACATTGAATGACTTACTGATCGCACAGCAGTAGTACTATATGAGGGTAGGACTGGCAGCGCATGCACACACGCAGAAGTTGGCTGGCTAGGGATGGCCTATGTCAAGTGTGACAAGTAATCCGGTATAGCTGTAATTTTCTATGTATGTTGTGATCAGCCAACAATAGTTTCAGTAGAATTACTTACGAGGCTCCGAGTCTGCTTGGATGTATGCGGTCCTATATGAATGAGGCTGTGCCGCACGGTAAGTGTTCAGATCAATGTGCACGGAGTTTAAATTTACCTTGTTCTTGATGCTCGACAACAGGGATGACTGCCGAACTCGAGCTCTTCAATCCACACTCAATCTCAACTACTTGTCACCCCGACCCTTTGTCAGTAATTTGACCTTCCAGTCGTGAGTGTCCGTGATCTCACTTTGCACAAAATTTTCACCTAATGTTTCGCAGCAACGACTCGGCAAGGAGGTCACGATCATGCTCGCCTGGGGTCCCAACTTGGACGGCCTCTATGAGGACTTCTTTCCAACAGTTTGGAAGTAAGTGCGTCTACTTTTGTCAAGGACTACTTAAAATTTTGCAATTGTTTCAGGGTCAGCAAATTCGGGAAGTCGGGTGGGTGTTCCTATTCTCTTGCTGCCAAGTTGCCGACTCACATATGAGCCCTCTTTCCAGGTCCATACTAGGCTACCGCAACCTACACTGCCCAGTAAGTAATGACAAGATCAATAGTCTTGAAAGTCGCTTATATATTGTATAGGCTTGCCGCTTGCTTGCTCCAGAGCACAGGTCGAGAGTGGGAAGGTCATCAGCGCTGCGACCTTCGTCAACATCAATGTGAGCAACTCTCATCTACTCTGAAATTGCTAGCACCAACGCAAGCCATAATGCAGAACAGCAAGAAACAACCTTGACAGAAGCCAACGACGTCTATCATTTCTCAGTAAGTCTGGCTTCCATTGATTTTTATCTCGACCACCAATGAATACCTCGTGTAGCCCCTCCCTCGCCAGTGCGTGCGTGTATACGTCTAGTATATAGTCAGGCTGTCAGGTGTAGCGAGCAGGTGGCATCAGCATCATATTTCCTATAGCTACCATGTATTCATATTTTAAATGGAATATTAATGCATATTCACAATATTCACAATATTTAAAATCATTATTAAATAAAGATCATTAATCTGTACACCATATATGTGGTTTATTATATATATACGGTATACATATGGTGTCGTTTTGGACCCATGGTAGCAGCTGGCTCGAACTTGATGGCCAAACGATGTCTTCGAGGTGATTGAAATCCGGAAAATCAACCGTCTGGAAGCCGGTTCATACCATAGGTCCAGAAACGGCTAAAACTTGACCCTGGGGTCACATTCCAGCCAGGTATCTACCGTCGGAAATTTTTGACAACACGCAGTGCTTGTGCTTGAGGAGCTAGAGTTGAAAAAACGCAAGTCAAATGTGCAACTGTACATCAGGGACTCACGACTCGGACTCGGAGTGACCATGAACACTGTCCGCGTGCACCATTCCGGCAAATGCCGGAGATGTCATAAACCTCAGCCAAATCGGGATATGTACGAATCTACGACAGCACGAACGACATTAACTCACTCTAAACATTCTAAACATCTACCGCTCCAATAAAACATGAACAACAACGCTGATGCCAACGGAGGCGGAGGAGCCGGAAATCAGAACGAAGACGCAAACCAGGAGCATCAGGTACGTCAAGAATTTTTTAATAAATCAGTACTCACTGGTATTCTACAGATTCCTCAACATCTTTTGCAAATCGTACCGAGGCCACGCAACGTGATGTTCACGATGACCGAAAGGCAGCGCGTAAGTAACGAATCATTCAGGAGTTACAGTTTTTAATATTTTCGAAGCAATTCATGTACATTACGTGGGCCGGTGCACGAGTCCGCGTGCGTCAAGAACTCTACCATCCTGAAGAACCGGTTCAACCCCACCCTCAGCCCCCGGTCTGGACAGAAGAAACGCGCGCCATGATGGTGCTTTGGCTCGCGAGGGAGCGCCAAATTTTCCGGATGGAGATGGAGGAAATGGAGCGTCTCCTGGGCCTTCGGGGTGCGCATTAATGCTTCTAGGTAAGCTGCTTTTAAAATTCTGAAAATTTCAACGGACTTACGAATATTAGACCACACACAAGTTCTAAGAGGCTAGAATGAGGTTAAGCGACTGCACATTGGACACTTGCGCGATGTACGTACCATGTAACACCACCATACGATACGATGTAACACCACCATGCAGAAAACTGATGTGGTAAAACTTCTTGATAATGTGATACGCGCAGACGCAAGCCACACATAGTCCGGTACGAGCTCATACAGCTCGATCGGTGGATCCACATCAGGAACGCGGTGCCCATGCATCAGTCCAAAGTGCATCAGACCCAAGTCGTCATCGTCCTCGTCCTCGTCATCGTCTTCGTTCTCCTCTTCACCCAATATTTCAAGATGGTTTGACTCGGGTGAATCGGTGATGTTGCGTCGCACGGGTTGGAAGGGACCCCACATGCGTGCAGGTCCGAGGTAGCGCATGTCATAGACATGTCTGCGTGCAAGGGTGCGGGCATCAGTGGACTGCCCTTCAGGGGTGTATAACAAGGGTCGCGAGCGTGTGATGGGTAGGGGAGACATGTCTTCGTCCTCATCAGGAGCAGAAGTTGAGTCTAGTGATACTGACGTAGGTGCTGCTGGCGAGGCTCCAGGAACGGATGTGTGTGTGAACTTGGGTACTGGCGCGGCAATAGGTATAAAGCCAGTACAGCAGATGAGTTTGTGGAATAGCTGGCCGACTACTGATCCATCCCACTGTGACGCAGATGTTAAAGTGGGCTGGTACGGTGCACAACCCTGGACATCGAAGGACAGCTTTGCCATTAGCGTGCGCATGAGCTCATGAGTATCCTAGGGAAAACACGCCGATACACCCCATCATAGCACTTAACCACGATGCCGTTCTCATAAGCATGGACAAACTCACCATCCAGGAGGATACACCACACTGCATGGAACAGCTCCCGCTTGCAATGTGTAAGTATATCGTCATAGTTCTTCCTCAGCGAAAAGGTGGATATGAAGCTTGTAATTGACTCTGGTAGCTACATGAGATACAAATCAATAACACGTCACTGGTTCCAGACATCTAGAAAGCTTACAGTGGGAATAAAAGCTATTGGGTGGCAAGCGCCAGAGTTAGGATCCGAATGAACATGTTTTGATAGATTCCCAAAAAAGAGATATATCGGCCATGCAGTAAGCTAGGAATTCCAGTGTGCACCTGCCCTGGCTGAGGAGTGGGTGTCTGAGAAGGCATCTGAGCATATGGGTTAGCACTGGGGCCAGGCGGAGGAGTGGAAATAAAATGAGGCATGAGGAGATCGTGAGGACCGTGAGTCATGTGTTAAAGATAACAGCCGGAGGTAAAAAGCAGAGCACGAACGAAATCAAAGAGCAGGTATCACTGTAGTGTCAGTACTGTAGCACAACAGATACTCGGAGAAAGGTTGATGTCCACTCACTGCAAATCATAAGATAGACGCCGTCAAGGCTATCACTTTGCCTCAAGGGCATGCTTCAAAAGCTCCCGTGACAGCTGTTATTGCACTGAGTGCATTCCATTTCAAGAATGAGCAGGCTTACCTTGATGAAGATTCTGAACGGTCTGTCTCAAAAAATGCGTACTGACTTGAAACGCGGCAGCTATGAGAGTTGAAATCAGGGAATTGAACCAAGAAAGGCTAAATCTGTTAGTCATGACTCAACACTTGAGCTTACTAAGCCCAACTTGTCTCAAGATGTAGGTGCACGAATGATATCAAGGGTTAATTAGGTCACTGGGACACTGCTTCAAATACACGTGCTAGGAGAGCAGTTTGCTCTTGGAGTATCATAACGATTTCTTTTCCTAACCCAGCAAGTCTCTCTTTGTCCCCGTTATCGGTGGTACGCCGCTTCTTTGCAGGTGGAAGTTCTACTTGTGAGGAGTTTGTGATATCACGAGCAAAGTCCCGGCGACTCTGAGCCTTTTCATGCTGAGGTTTATTAGTATTATGCGATAATTTGAGACAAGGCCTCAGATGAGACTCACTTGCAGCCTGTGAGATTTGCAGCCAAGGCTCGAGTCGCTTGACAAGGCACGTTTCAAAATTGTCCGTGGAATATTGACAGGAAAATCTTCATGCTAGTAACAAGAACGCTCATGAGTTATTTCGTCACATGGTATTAGGAAATATTACCTCCTGCTCAGCATCTTCTCTCGTGTTGTGCGTTGGTGATTGTGACCTTTGGGAATCCAATGTCTCCTGAGCATTGAGACCTGGTTTCGCTCTTGATTGATAGCAGGCTTGACTGTATATGTAGTTTCCTTGCGAATCAGCTGGTGCTCCTTGACCATTTGCGGGGAAATGCCATCTTTCAGAATCTGGTGAGTCTCTGACTCCGAGGATTTGTGAAGCACCGTCATTGCGACTAGAGCCTCGAGAGCTATGTTCAGAGCTTTTATCAGGATCATAAGGCATTGTGAAAGATATCTGACAATTGATCGCTACCTCATCCTCCAAGTCAGGCTAGTAGTACCTCTTACCACCCTAATGATATCATTCGTGGAGCATCAATTACATTTTCAAGTACATGATTCACGGCGACCTGACTAGCATAAGTTTTGCATATGCTGTATGGGGAAGAGACAAACAGGTGGTGCTCAGGTGGAGCGCGAACGCGAGGTGGACGCGAATTGGTTCCGCGGGATCAGATGTTCTGTCCTTACATGTTAGATTTTCCGAACGTGGTAAGCTGTATGTCAACCGTACTCGGATTCAATGAAGTGACACCAAGGCCAATGGGCCCCAGATCGGCCTGAGGATCGTGTCAGACAGCGGCACCTTTCTAACTTGAAACTCCAAACCTGTGACTCAGTCTTGAACACTGCACTGATAATATGCTCCGTTTGCCACATGAGATCGAAAGGACAGTCTTTCAACTTGCAGCAGGCGTCCATCCTGCAAACGATGTGCACTCGTATTTATTGGTCGCCCCCAGAGTTCATGACTGGTAGGCAAAAGTCCTGAGATATGCTGGATTCAGTTGTGACTTACAAGATGGTAATAGGATTGAAGGATTGATGTATCGAACCGTTGTCCTTGCCAGTGAGGCACGAGCATGCCTTTTTGTTGATTCACTTCGTTCTCGACCAGTGTTTGCTTCTGTGAATGTCAAATCTCTCTGTATTCGCGGTATGGTGCAACTCACCACGGCGGTAGAGGTCATACAACTGTGCAGTGGTATTGTCGACCTCGCCCTCTGGATTCTGCCAGAGGGGGATCATGACATGCTGGATCACCTATTGGATGCATTAAACAAGCTACCTTTATCACGGCTGTCTATCCACTTATCGACCGTCTTCCGTAGAACTGACATGCCATTCCTACCATCCATCTCTCTATTCAGCAAAGTCACCCACCTTGACTTGTTGGAAGGTTGGGTGCTTTGGGGCTCCCCAATCGGCATACATTGCCTAACACAACTTACACATATTTCCCTTCGACTGTTCACTGATCAGACGGCACCAGCCTTGCTGCAAATAATCCTTGCAGATTGCATTCACCTAAAGGTATTGGTTTTGCGTGTAACAGAGGAAGTTGGCCGGGTAGAGAAATGGTTGCAGGAGCACGACGGTCTCGATGATCATTGTATTGTTGTGACGGCCAAGAGCTCTTGTGATACCTGGAATTGCAGAACAAGCGATGGTATGAGTCTGTGGCAGTATGGAGATTATATTGCAAAAGGTCGAGACGCGATACATGAATGTACAATTTAGGCGCCGAGAATATCTGCAATGATCGTATATGATCATATGGCTGTCGTTGTACATTTGTATTCATTTGTCTGCAAGTTTATGAGTAACGATGCACCAAGTCCTGACTCCATTTCCGCCAAATCTAATGTTGACACTTCTTCAATCATTCGCCGTGTTACCCATGTTATATTACATCGCTCGCTTACCAGTATACCATACTTTCTCCAATAAGAACTGGTAAGCATCAGTCCTCCACAGTCTGCGTTCAGTCTTGATCTGTGGTGCGGATCTATCGCCACCATGAAGTTGAATCTCACCACCATAACCATGACATGGAGCACAAGAAAGCAGGATCTTTCCTTGGGCGTGTTCACTGCGCCATTATGGCCCTCGGCCTATGGGACTTGGGTTGCGCTGTCGCGTTCGTTCTTGGTGAGTACTTGTATTGTATCGCTAAATTATCTCTGATGTGCTTGGAAAGGTTGTGGAATCGGTGTTTTGCTTCGCATGTTCTGGGTAATGTCTGTCCTCGTGTATCGCACTGTCAGAGATGAGCGATCGGAGAATATCAGCCACGGGTACATCATGTTCGAACATGATGCAGAGACCCACTTCGTGCCTCCTCCTGAATACACTGACGAGAATCCATTCCTTCCCCTTAAGCACTCCATCTACAAACTTCCTGTTCATTCGCTAAACAAGCTCGAGTCCCTTGCTCTGACGTCCCATGACCTTACAATTTCGCCTGCTGTTGGCGTCAGTGGCTGGGGCACATCATCTACCGCGGTCGCCCCCTTCATACGCCCAACCAATCTCTTGTTCCTCTTCGAATCTGGAAGCACCTCTCTCACACTCCAGTTCAGAGCCCGTCCTCCTTAGCTTTTGCGGGCGATCGTCCAGCCATCCTGGATCTGTGCTTGAAGATATGTTTCTGGACCAGATGCTCTCGTGCATCTTAAATCTCTGATTCCAACTCGCAACACTACTGCGATTGATCACCACGAATGTGCCGTACCATAATTTCACTATCATTTTGTGATGTTTACTATGTAGTCTTGGGAATCATACATTTCATTTGGGAATGCACTAATCTACCCATTCTGTACTAGTATCCGCCGCCTGCAGCACTGTCAGTTTCATCAATATACAGTGTCTTATGCTCTGATCTGTGTGATCGTGGAGTGGTTAGTGTTTGTTGAAGTTCCTGCATGAACTTTTTTTACCTTCTGAGTCTTTCTATGTGGGCTCTGGCTGCAGCGCATTTATTGTGTCGATGACATGAACATAGAAATTCATGATCATCAGAGGACACAGGTTGTAAAATATATGAAGGCTTTCTGGAGAGACGATGCACATATCATCTAGAGTCTTCACTCCCATCAGTTTCAAAGGAGTGAGGAATAACTCTGGCCATTGCCGCGCCGGCTCATCATTACTGAGCTGCTCCATAAAGGCTTCCAAAGTGGGATATGGAATTGATGGGTCGGTTTCAATCTCCACATCGATGAGTATGCTTGAAGTGATAGTAGTTACTGACATGGGGTCGTGATTATAGAGGAACAATGACTTGGACTCAGACTTTGATGCGCGGCTGTACTCACTATGGCATCTTTATAACAGAGCTTAGGGTACTACAAGCTCCAAGGATGCTACAAGCTCCGATCTGAGGGCGTAACATGATGCCTCCGATCAACTCACGCATGGTTCATGCTAAGCTTAATGTAAACTCCTGACCCAAAGAAGCTGCAATATATGGTCATGTATTAGCCTCACCAGTTTGATCTGAGTCATCACTAAATTCTGGGGTATTCAAGTGATCCAAACTCCACGGGTCTTGGCCGATTGACACTGCGTCATTGTGTCCTGATTGGAGTCAAAGTTTTTGTTTGTTGACTAATGGAGATCAATTAGATAATTGCACGCACCTTTACCTGCCAGCAATTGAACAGGCCTTCAGCCCAATCGCAATCGTCATGTCCACGACCAGCACAATCACTATCAGGAGTCATTCCTCACAATCCCATAGCCCTAAAAACAACAGCCAGGGCAGGCCTACTTGCAAGGTGAAAGTTATTGAACGATA